CCCGCCCCCCCCCCCCCCCCCGCTGCAACGGGCCCCGCGCCCGCCGCGCCGACATGGTCGCTAGGCAACGGAGGCCGCGGCGCGAAGAGATGGCGTCACGCCCGGGGGCGGGGGGGAAGAGGAGGGGGGCACGACTCTCTGCTTGCGCCTGCGCGCTGCCCCTCGCGGGTCCGCGGCGAGAGGCATGCTGGGAGTTGTAGGCGTCCCCGCACATCCCGGTACTCAAGGGCACAAAACAGAGGGTTATTTTCCCCTTTATTTATTTATTTTTCCTTCATTTCTTTATTTTTGCCTTATTTATTTATTTAGCGAGCGAGAGGAGTGCTTTTTCCTCTATACTGATTTATTTTTCCTTTATTTATTTATTGAGAGTGGTATTTTTTCCTTTATTTCCTTTATTTATTTAGTGATAGTTGTTGTTGAATTAAATCCTCCAAATTCCTTTCCACCTTAATCCACACCACAAAAACCTGTGCCCAAGCCTCAGGGCTTCCCCAACACAAACGTACCAAAGCTCAAAGGCGATAAATGAATGAAGAAAAAAAAAAAGAAATAAGCAAACTTTGAGAAAAGGCAGCAGTGTAACCCAAACGAGGTGATAAAACTTAAGATCTGCAGCGTGTTCAGCTTGCAGCGAAGGCACAAACTGCTGCTGTCTGCGGTGCGAGGCACAAGTTTAAGGGGAAACTTTAAGAAACCCTCAGGAGCTTTAGGCCACGATGCCCACTTGCTGGAAGCGCCTGTGGTATAAAACAGTAATGACTAAATGATCGGATTGTATAACCCAGTACCTCATGCTGCCTGAAACTCAATGCCCAAAGCACTGTTAATTTAAAGTATTAGTGATTTAACGCACTAGTTCATCAAGGCGAGCGGCTGTATCACCACTTGGTCCTTCTTTCCTTCGCTGGTGCCCTTCCGTAACGAGGCTCCCCGCTCGTTACGCCGGGCCTCAGGCCCTGCTTTCCCGGTGTTTGTAACAAACCAGCCCAGGACACAGCACGCGAGCGTTTCACCCGTTTAATGCGCTGCTCGGAGGGGCGCATCAGGAGCAGGCTCGGCATCGCGAAGACAAAACAGGGATAAAACACAGTCCTTTGTTTGGAGGAGGGACACTTGGTGC